GCCTTTAGAGCCGGGACAGGCTCCCAGGGCGGCCGGGCGGTCACTGCCCCCTGACGGGGCCCCGGGAGCACGGGGACGGCACAGGAAGCTGCTTCAGTGAAGTGTGTGGTTAGCTGCATGTTCCCGGAGTGGTTTCCAGCACGGAACCGTGCAGCAACGTTAAGGAAACATTTTGCATCTTCTTTTTCTACTGAGTCTTTGAGCCGGGTATGGCTTTGGCACCTGCAAACCCCCCTGGCCGGGGAGGCGGGGGCCTCCTGGTCTGCGGCCCAGCCCTTCCGCTTCCACGAGACCCCGCGGCTTCAGCACCCGCAGAGGCCGCTGGCAGAGCAGGCGTGAGCGTGACCTCCGACCTTCTCCAGGTCTTGGAGCAGACCCCAGGCCTGGACAGTGGGGATCCTCGAGGGGTGCCCCGCCCCCTGGCAGCTCCCCAGGGCAGTGGCTCTGGTGCCTGTGGTCCCCAAGTCCCCTGGCTTGGGGGGGGTTTGGTCAGTGGGCTCTCTCTGGGCCTCTGTGCTGGGCGTGGGACGCGGGCACACACCAGCCAGCATCCTGAAGGATGTCCCGGATCCCTTGCCAGCCTGTGACGGCTGAGGTCCTTTCCCAGGACACCGGAACCCAGGCTCGGGGGTCCCCTGAAGCCACCAGGGAGGCCCCGCTTCTTCCAAGTGTGTCCGGTGACACATCCTCCCTCAGCTGAGTGGCCGGCTCTGCTCAGCCCCTGCCGCCTCTGGTCCTGAGCTCTTGTGTTTAAATGAGATTTTTCAGGGGCCTCTGACCCACGGAACCATGGCCTGGCCTGGCCACACGCAGGGTCCTGCAGCCCGGAGCTCCACCCACTGACCTAGGCCGGCTTCCCCGTTCGTGGTGGGAGTGCCAGAGCCGGGAGGGGCCCAGGCGTGGTCCCAGGGAAGCCACGGCTGCAGCCAGCAGGTTCCAGGGACCGGGTGCGGCCTGGGGCTCCCTCGCTGTCCCTGGAGGGCCGTGCCTGCGGCAGCAGCTGGATGGCGCGCTCATGAGCTGCCGGGACTGAAGGGGCCGTGGTTTCAGAGAACTGGGAGCACGGCCGCCGCAGGGGCTGAGGCGGAGGGTGCACCAGGCACGTGGGCTCTGGGCGCCTCCCCCTCCCCCCCAGTCACCCTGGCTTTGGAGGAAGAGCCGTGTTCTGATCACTTTTGTCTTCTCGGATTACAGGGCTGCTCAGCCCCCAGTGACTCAGTGGGAGCAGCCGTGGATCTTAAACGCTTTCAGCTGGGTGTTTCTATAGCGCCGTCGCCATAGCACCCGCTAAGCCGGGAACAGGCACGGCCGGGAGGGGCCGGGAGGGGCCGGGCTGGGGATGTTTTGCTAATGGTTAAGGCAATACATCCTCCATTATAATAGTGAATGTATTTTAGTACTCAATGCAGGCTTCCTAAATAATAATTAATAATAATATCATTTTCTACTTGTGTGCTACATTATAGGACTTCCTACACATAGGACTAAATTAGATCTAACTGTATAGTTTACAAGGTGATTTAAAATGAATAAGCTAAGTGGAAGGAAGTAGGCTATTTT